CGCCGCAGCAGTTGTAGCGGAAGCAGCAGCAGCAGTCGACGTCGCGGCAGCCTCGGTAGTGGACGCAACGGCAGCAGTGGTTGCACTGGCAGCGTTATCGTCAGACGAAGACGAAGAGCCGCTGGAACCAGAGGACGATGAGCCGTCAATGTTCTGGAGACCAGGGTCCGAGGTGATGTCCGTGAGCTGCGAGCCGTCCGCAATGGGACCAGTGGGGTTCGCGGGACATGAGCCGAGTGGGGAGAGAGGCGCGCTGTGACCGAAAGGAATGGTACCCGCGGCGCCGACCTTCAATCCACCGACGAACGTCTGCTGGTCCGCACCCTGGAACTGGCACTGGAACAGGCCGTTCAACTCAGCGTTCTTGGGCGCCTGTTGACAGTAAGGCACCGCCTGGGAATTGGGCTGTAAATCAACCGTGTGAGCGGGGTGAAACGCGCAAATATCAACATGGACGCCTGAAAAACGAACCGTGTTCCGGGGTTGCTGCGCGAAGATCTGGGCGAACTTGATCATGTCCGCGTCGTTGTTCAGCGTCTTAGCGAGGTCAATCATCGCGTCGGCCGAGTCCTGCTGCTCGCAAGGACCAGCCGCGGCGAGGAGAGTAGTGAACGCCGTGACGGAGACGGGGTTGCACTTGTCAGCGCCACCGGCCGCGAGCTATCCAAAGGACATATGAGATATATGAAGGCAGGTTGAGTTCGCCCGGTCTACATACACATGCTTTCTCCCACTGAGCAGTCGAATCGGCGATAACCTGGGCAATACGCTTGTTGAGGGGCGCGCCCTGCGCGTGCATTACGATGGCCGAGAGGGCGACGAGGAGCGCAGAGGTGAACTGGACCATAATGAATGAAGTTCTGATAGCGTCAAGCTACGTATAAAGTTTGAAAGAGAGAAGGGGGTCCGAGCTCAGCTCTGGCGTGGAGAGGGTGCAGAAAGTGGGTGGAGGGGAGATGGAAGGGACGAGAGCGGCCGTCTGGGGTTTATATGCCGCCATGTTGCTTGGAATCCTTGAAGTTGGACCAAGGAAGGCAATAGCGGCTTCAAGGAGAATTTGTGTTGCCGGGGTCTGGCAAGGCACCGCGCGGGCATTCCGTAAGCGAAGCGTAACCATCATTGCCGAGCAAAGAGTACAAACATCGCCCACAAAGCTATCATTACCTAATCTTTAATTGTGGTGAATGTCTATTGTCGTATGCATTGCCGCCATTGCAACTGCCTTTGAAGTCTGACATGTCGTGGCCGCTGCTGGGAGTATTCATTCACTGCCGGCCAGTGCTTCAACGTAAACGTGGTACAAATGTACAAGGACTCGGGCCCAAAATATCCGAGAACTCGCGCTTGTGCCGGCGCCAAGGGCGATGGTTTCCATGCCATCCGCCACCTCCACCTTGAACTTGGACGTCTCTAGAGCATGGGCCGCATGGGATACTTGCGCGCAGCCGTCTTCTTATGATTTGTGTAGCAGCGGTGAAAGAATCCAGATCGTATTGAAGGCGAAGACCGCATCAAGGACAATCAAGCGCTTTGACACGAGCGACCCTCAGATCCGATTGGGGGGACATCATAGAGTCGCCTGCTTGCAAGTCGTCGTCTTCATTGATCTGTGCCAGCTCTCCAAGGCAGCCTTGTACCAGCCAGAATGAATTGTTTAGCTTGAGGGGTGAGTGTTCGGCATTCTTGTAGACCTCTATATCCGATGATTTCCCTTCGTAATGACGAGGAAATTAGATCGCATCACAGCCAAAGACATAGTGTTGCAACGTCGCTATGAAAGCAGGCCATGCTTGCTTGATCAGCTATGCCCCGAAGGTTACGATAAATTGAACCACCCGTCTGAGGCTCTGAGCCGTGATGGCGTCCGAGGTACTAGAGACCGACGGCTGAGAACATACAGTCAAGCAACTTCGTCGCACGCTGGGCCATCCCAAGCATGTGCGTGTCGTCCCGTGCCTCTTCACGTTTGACCTCATAGCCTCCGCAAGCAAATCACAGTGAGTTCGGGTATGGCGTGCAACCCCACGGCGCTCCGATTTTCTCATGAGCGTCAAAAATATCCTTAGCACATCCGATTCACTGGTTCATGCGAAGGCTGCTAGCTCTCTTCCCAAATTCTACACCCGCATCAACGCCCGACGAAGCATCTCTCAATGTATCTTCCGTTGCTCCGTGTACTCCGAAGCGCCGTGCCGCCTTGCTGGAAACTACACAGCGCAAGAGTAATTGGCTGGCTCGATCCGGTGGTGGTAAGATGCGCCGTCTGCTGACCGCCTTCCCCTTCCGTTACATGTCAGCTCATCCAGTCCTTCCTCAAAGCACTAGTAACGATGGATGTCTAGACCTCTGAATGACGAGAGGGATGCGCATTATTCGCCCTCATGCCCTCTTCGAAGCGTTCGCCGGTACCTCATGACATGACCAAAGCGGCCCGCATCCTTGCATATATATGCTGAGCTCGCCTAGTCTGCAGAGCGAACCCGCATTATCTTGAGGTACTATGCAGCTGACTCTGTTACTTTCAGCTGCGGCCCTCATAGTGGCCGCTACTGGCAAGCTCGCTACCGTCAAGCTCGACCAAGCCACTGTCATTGGGACCAGCGATGGTGTAGTGACGCAATTCCTCGGTATTCCCTTCGCCGAGCCGCCGTATGTAGTAAGAGCTTCTTCGACTTCCAGTGTGCTAATAGCGTGGACAGGGTCGGCAAGCTGCGGCTCCAGCTACCTCAGCCGATCTCGAACTATAAAGGGGTCATCAATGCGACTACGTTCGGGAACCAATGCATACAGCAAACCATCATCACGCCGACTATTCCGAGCAACGTGCCTTCGGAGGTCTCTACTTTCGTCTCGGCCATGGCTATCCCTCCAGATGTCCCCCAGAGCGAGGATTGTAAGTGGATTTCTGAAACTCGTTCGACCCCTACTAAAGGTACGATTAGGCCTGAACATCAATGTGATCGTACCTGCCAACGCCAAACCTGGAGACAAGCTACCAGTCGCCGCAGTACGCATTGTCTTCTCTTCGAGGTGCACGACTTTGACTGACCTCGTACTGCACCACAGTGGATTTTTGGAGGTACGGGAAAAGCTTTCATCAACAAGCCAATTCTCTTGACCTCGTCGACTAGGCGGCTTCCAGATTGGGTCGAACGCAGTGTCCGTGGTTCATTGGGGCTTGGCAGATTGACTTGTACTAACGTGCACTGATTTCAGACGACCTGGCCAGAATGTCGTCAACCGCTCTGTGGAAATCGGACAACCCGTCATATTCGTATCCATGAATTACAGGTGCGTCTCGTGATTACGCACCGAACCGCACTTTTTGGTCCTAACTCTGCGTGCGTACAGACTGAGTGGTAAGAGGCCGTATGCCGTGCTCCTGCGGTCGGTATTGATCTTCCGTCAGCCTTCGGTTTCTTGGGAGGACGGGAGATATCCAATGCTGGTTTGGGCAACTTGGGGCTGCAAGACCGTAAGCGATCCTCTCTACCTAGCATCTGACACTCTTGACGCTGGTGAACTCACAGAGCGAGAGGCGCTTCGATGGGTACAAAAGCACATTGGCGCCTTCGGAGGCGATCCGACCAAGGTTACGATGTGAGCGGTACTAATGGCCGGGCTGGATAGCTATGATCTATCTCATCATGCTCTTACAGATGGGGCGAAAGCGCGGGCGCCCAGTCAGTCGCAGTGCACATGCTTGCATTCGACGGCAAGTCCGAGGGCCTATTCCGCGCTGGATGGATGGAGTCGGGTGCCGCGTCTCCTATAGGGAACGTCTCGAAGATCCAGCCAACATTCGACTTCATCGCGTCGGAAACCGGCTGCGCGTCTGCGCTAGACATCCTCGAATGCCTTCGAGAAGTTCCCGCTGAGGCCATCCAGGCCGCGATGGATCAGACTCCGACGTTCCTGTCGTTCACTGTAGGTTCTGCAGCGGGAAATATCTGAACCTCGCGTCGGGCTCACGTATTTGTAGGCTCTGAATACGCCGTGGATGCCCCACGCGGATGGCCTGTTCTTGACAGACAACCCACAACGGCTCGCTCAAGAAGGCAAGATTGCAGAGATTCCGTTTGTCATAGGTACCGTCACCATCCTCTGTCCGCTCTCGCAACTCCTTACCTCCCACACGTAGGAGCATGCGAAGACGAGGGAACGCTCTTCTCGCTTGCTAACCTGAACATTACGTGAGTGTTCGTTATCCTGTGCTAGTGCCTAGCTCATGCTTCTTCCGCAGTACGGACGAGGAGTTCGCTGCATATGTTGCAAACGTATACTTCCCAGAAGCGCCAAAAGAAAACGTGACCCGACTCCTGCAGTTGTATCCATCTAACCCTGCGGTCGGATCTCCTTTCCAGACGGGGAACCAGTTCGCCTTCACCCCGGAATACAAACGCTTTGCCGCCTTCCAAGGCGACTTCATCTTCCATGCGCCGCGCCGCTTCCTCCTCGACCTGCAGGCGGGCAAGCAAACCGTCAGGTCATTCCGTGAGTGCAGTGCTCAATACAGACCGGCATGCGTGCTCACGACAACCCACCTTAGTGAGCGGGCGCAACAAGGTCACAGGAATGGGCGCCGTCAGTACCTCGTTCGCACTCGCTATGTTCGTATACTGACTACCTTCATCACAGACGCACACCACCGAACTTGCCAACGTCTTCTTCGGAGGCGACATGACGGATTTCTTGGTCCGTTTCGTGCATACGCTCGACCCAAACGGTGGTCAGGACATTCATTGGCCCGCGTACAACCCAAAGTCGCCTCAGCTTCTCGCGTTTGTAGAGGGCCGGACGCCGTTGACGGTCATACCGGACAATTTCCGCGAGGAGGCGAACGAATTTCTGGTTCAGCTTGGTCTCGAGCAGCCTCTCTAATGAACTTGAGGCGGGAAAATAAAGCTATTGCATGTCGTAGCAATACGTATAACGCATCACACTGCACATGTCTAACGCAAGTCGGAGAGACAGTAACGACATTTCTGTTGTAGCAAAAAGGGCCTGGCCGGGAATTGAACCCGGGACCTCCTCCAAATTGCTTGACGCCCTAAGAAGGAATCATACTACTAGACCACCAGGCCATGTCAGCAGAAGTGCATTGAGCCAGTCAGTAGAAAAATAAGTTATGACACTGCCACCACGCTACCAAACCGCCTCATACTACCGCCCTGTCCTGGCTGGCACGATTCCTCCTCCTTCTACAACCCCTGACAGTCTTCACCTTGTCGTACGGCTGCTCTCGTGCTATAGCACGACGGTACTGCGCTATATGTGCTTAGTAGTATACTAAGCGACATGGATGCTAATAACAACGGGGAACCTCGGGATCTGGAGAATGGCGCTGACAACTCCCGTCAGCGGGGCGGTTCTCTATCCCTCCTTCTCTTCACCACTTTTGCTCTGTTCATGCTCACGCAGGGTCGCGTGGAAGACACATCCTTGATGCGATTCCAGTACATCAATGGCCTCAACTCGCTCAATCATCAGTTGTCCAACTACAGCGCGTGGTTGAACGGCACCACAAGTAACTTCTCGCTAGTTAGTGCCCGTCTCGTGTTTGGAGGCCATAGCTGATGGTACACCCACCTCTCAGCCGGTTGAAGATCCCAACACGACGCCTCTAGTGCAGGCATTTCTCACTCTAGGTTCTGAGCTCGACCCTAGCCAAGGCTCGTATTACTCAAATATGACCGGCTTCTGGCACGGGGATCTCCATGCCCACAACCTGACCTCACTCAATACTTCCGAGGCTGCTTCACCTTGGCGACACCTGTCAGAGCAGTTCATCTTGCCGACGAACCTCAGTGCCGTTCCGGAACTGCTCGGGCCATGGAATTGGACACGGTCAAACAAGCTGGCAGTCAGCATTGGCGACAAACTGATCTCTTTTGAACGTGATGGCATTGCACATAAGAACATAGCGGTCATTCACGTGCGTTTGGTAGCCTTGAAGCGTACCTCAAATGATGTGTAACGGCATTGGTTTTCTCAGGGCAGATTGGACTTGTCCGATCCTGGGAGCTCAGACGAGCTCAGGCTAGACTTTGAGGGCATACACGTCCTCTCTACTGGCACCATCTATGCAATGGCCGAATCTGGAGGGTGCGCACGTCAGGAATATTCATGCGAACTCTACTTATCTCCCTTCCTCCAGACGCAGCATGGACATTCGCCATCTCCCAGCGCTCGTTCCAGATAGGTTCAGAAACGATACCGCTCGTGCTGTCGAGACCGAATTAAAGGCCCGTATCGACAAGCTCAAGGAGAAGATAGACGCAGGCTCCTTCGACCAGGACACCTCGGACGCTGATGACAGTCCGACGACTAAATGCTCCTTCCGGTTCTACGCTCAGCTCAATGCCACTACGGTTCCCAAGGAACTGATGGATGAGCTCGAGAATGAAATCGACAAACCAACGGGTATTACGACCGTATCGGCTCCCGAGATGGCTTTGGAAGGCGTCTTGCTCAGCCAAAACTGTGGGATGCTGTACGAGATCAAGCATACCATCGGCGTCCAGTGAGCCTCATGACACTTGCAAAGCCGCGATGTTATACTCATTGCATTGCAGGTCTCGGAGATTACATAGAAAGATCACTACATGTGAGGTTAGATCTGACATTTGTGAGATTGGTCTGCTGATAGAAACGCAAAGATTCCGGCTGCGCCGCTCTTGTCAACCTTGCTCTCGTGGCTTTATACCGTAGACAAGCCGCACACAGTGATACGGCCATCGGCCTCTCTCGTGTCTCACGTTACACGTTCCTCATCCAAAGCCTCATCGATGCTATCTCTTTCATTGGGGTGAGTAAAGGTATAGTGGCTCGCACGGGCCATGCTGATTAGGTGCTGCAGCATGTCACGCTGGGAATTCTAGCAGAGGGCCGCTCGTCGCTCTCAGCCCTCGCACCCGCCGCACTCGCGTGTCTCCTGTTTGTGTACGAAGCTGTAAGCGTTTTCCCTATGTCCTACTCTACAACATCCTCATGGTTTTTCAAGCAAATGGTCATCCAAATTGGGCTGATACAAGCACCAGAAGATGCCCCTGCATCTGTACAACCTCCCCCACCCCCGGCTGCCACGAATGCGCCTCAGACTCCTCCAGCCCAAGGTGGAAATGCACAGGCAGAGGGAGAGCAGCCTCCGCCCCCGCCACCTCCTCCCAGGCGGCCGACCTACCTCCAATTCCTTTGGACTCATATCCGCACCGATCCGGCAGCACGTCTATGTACGTATGCTGTCTTATACTTCGTCCGAATCGATGACTCACGTAGCTTGACCTCAGGGACACTGATGTCACTCTCGCTCATCGTTGTCTTCCGCATCGTGATGGCGTTGTCATTGCCGCTGTTCTTTATCAGCTCGCTCTACTCGTGCATGTGGCTCATGCAGATATACCGTTCTGCATGCCGCACGAGGAGCAGTGGTCTATCTGCTGAGTATATGATAGGCACTACACTCGGCCGACTTTACTTCATTTGCTGTGAGTATCCAATATGCATATCAATCTGCCACGTACACTACTGACAACCGGACAGACTTCCTCGGGTGCCCAAAGAACATCCTTGATGTCGGGCCGCGGCGTACGTTGTCATGTCGCTGTCAAAATCTGTCAGGCTGCTCACACGCCCTATCAGGATGGGTCTATGCCGTCGGTCTGTTTATGTTTGTACAAGTATTTGTGATCCTGCTCCAGGAACGCCTCGGCCCCGCGTTCTTCGTTCCCAAACGGGTATGTCCCTTGACACGATCTGTCTTCCTCTCCGCCTGACCTAATCCGCTTCACCGTAGTTTTCGCGGGCGCAGACATACGATTACCACCCACCGATGCCGCTCCCTGACCCTGAGGCCCCGGACCAAAGCCTCGGCGACTGCGCGATTTGCATGGACGCAATTCTGGTCGATCCGTCCCTGCGTCGTCGATCCAAGTCGAGCGATAGCAAGGAGCGGCCCGTGATCGGACGCGCTGGTGGAATCCTGCAGAAAGTCGGCGGGGTGAAGAAGACGTACAGTCTTGCACCATGTCATCATCTCTTCGTAAGTTCGCGGGCTTGTACTATCCTGGAGACATGTCGCTCATGTTGTCAACGTAGCACACGGAATGTCTAGAGAGAGTACGTCCACCCCATCTTTGCTTATTTTGGCTGTATACTGATCTTGGTCTTATCATTTGCTTTGCTGTAGTGGCTTGCGATCAAGGTGAGTATATCCCCTCAGAGTCTCGCCAAACTTACTCTGACCCAAATTGCTCAAGAACATCTGCCCACAATGCCGGCGACCATTGCCCCCTCTCTAAACACCGCTCCCGCACCACGCTTTGCATCATTCCTGTCATTGGACGTTACAATATCATCTATAATCTACCTCATAATACACCCTTTCTCGACGTTCCCCGAGTTGGGAAGCCTGCTGTCGAGACATGACCTTACATTATCCCTTCATACGAAATGTCCAAGACGTCCCTCGCCCATGCTAGGCCATACCGCGCGCTCAAGTTGACTTTGTTGGCTGGAGGACAATCCTGGACATGCCTCCTCCCGGCTGTCGTACCACGCAGGTTCACACACAATTCATCCTAGCAACCATCGACTTGCTTGTGACAACAGTATCTACGGATACAGAGCGTGGTAGGATATGGCACCAGACCAGGGTATCCCGGAAACCTCTCATTACATCCCCAATAAATATGCCAGATATATCATACTCTAAATTTGAGCGCCAGCCGCTTACTGGACGGTGAAGCTAGTAGAAGCCTGTCAGCGTCGTCGCTCTTACATCGAGAAGGTGGAGTTACTCACTAGACCATGTCGTCGAGGGAACCGTGCTGCGCAACAGCGACGAGAGCAGGCTGGTGGTTGGCGGCAGCGTTGATCGACGCGAGACGGTAAGCACCCTTGGGGAGACCGCCGCCGACCTCAACGGAGAGCACGCCGTTGACAGCCTTGTCGTTGAGACCCTTGAAGAAGACGAACTTGGTGGGGTCGGTGACCTTGGTGGTGTCAACGGCATCGATCTGCTCAACAACGACGTGCGAGTGGCCCTGGATGTCGCCCTGCGCGTTCACGACCTGAGGCGCGGCCATGTAATTCGCGTTCGCGTTCGTGAAGTGGCCGGTCTCGAGGTGCTGGATCGCCATCTTGATCGTGAAGTTCTGGTTCGCGGGGATCACAGCGTTGTTCTTCGGGAACTGGAACTTGCTCGATGGCATGTTCGTCGTGGCCGCGATCACACCCATCGGCGCGGGGTTGCACGAGCCGGTCTTGATCTGCTGGCCGTTGGTGATGGGCAGGTTGGGGACGGTCGCGCAGAAGTTGATGAAGTTGTTCGAGGACGTGAGCGAGGGGACCTGGCCAGCGGTCGGCTGGTCTTGGCCGTCATTCTCGAAGCCAGTCGCGATGACAGACTGGAGGAGGGTCAACGACGTTTGCGCGTCGTTGCCACCGGCAGCGGCGGTACCAGAGGCCTGGATCAGGGGATACGCGATGAGTGATTCCGCAGGCGAAGCCTAAAAGTCAAACTACTCACAGCTGCAGCGCTGGAGGTCGAGGTAGCAGCAGCGGAGGAAGAGGCGGCGGCGTTGCCGGTCGCAGCGTTGTTGGACGCGCCAGTGGCACCGGTCGCAGCAATGCGCGCATCACGGTCAGCGGCGGTCGTGCAGGTGATGCTCGTTCCAGCAGAGTTGACCAGAGGCAGGGCGGCACAGCTTCACAATGAACGTGAGACACTGGGTAGTGCGTGCGAAGGGATGGGCACTTACATCAAGCCACCACCACATTGCTGGAGGACGAATTTGCCGTTAACACACTGCGCGAACTTGTTGTCAATGCAAGCATCTTCGCCAGTCTGGCAGGAGGAGTCCGGAGTGAGAGACTGGAACTTCTGGCTGTAGATCACCGGCGCAGTCAGTGCTTCCGTCCCGACGCGCGCCTATGAACGGATCAAGAACTCACTTGAGCGCAATGGCGTCCTTGCCGTTCTGGAGCGTGAACGATGCACGACGGACGAAGCTGGGGCCGGCCGAGGCGGCGAGGGCCATGGAGACAGCGACAAAGGCGGAGAACTTCATATCTGGGTCGTTTA